TATTATTTGTTTTATTTTATTTTTTGACTCGTTTTCTAATTTTTTTCACATCTTTCACATTTTGCATTATTCTGATCTTTTGTTGCTTTATCTATGTTTTCAGATGTAATTTTCCATGCCATACTTATTGTGTAGTTTTTTATTTTATATTATTGTATTATAACCAATAAAGTACTATTATTATTAAATAGGAAGAGATCTTCACAAAAAAAAGAATTTAAATAGATAATACATAGGATAAACAAAAGAGTTTTTAAAGAAATCCACCCTAATGACCCCCAAAAATGATCTGCTTAAATTCATTCAATGCCGCAGTACATACCCCCTCTACAAACAGGGAGCTGCCTCAAAACCTCCATGGACAATACCGAAGCCTAGAGTCCTGCTGGATCTCGCCAAATTCCTGAAAGAAAATACTCCTCCTTATTTATATAAACAGGAATTTTCAAGAATAAGAGCCGCTTTCCCAAGCCACACCCTTGCGTTCACTGACAGATCACATAGTGAAAACGGAACAGGCGCAGCATTCATGATCAACAAAAAAAGGTATATGTTCTCCCTGCCAAATGTCTGCAATAATACTGCCGAACTAACGGTGATTGGTAAATGCCTTAACATAGTATTTCCTCGAGCAATAGAAAAACCGATTCGCTATGCTGGTCCAGGAGATATTGCTTTCTCTGGAACGATTGAGACTCTCTTGAGAGTAATTTTCGTGTGGATTCCAGGACAGTGGTATAGTGGGCAATGAACAGGCGGATACTGCTGCAAAACAGGCCACCATTGATGGGATCCCACTTAAGTACACCCCTCACACAGATTTTATCACCCACTTGAAAGAAAAGATATGGCAGAAGTGGCAGGAGAAATGGAGAGAAGTGAGGGACAAGCTAAGGGATATTAAACCAAATGTTGGCCCTTGGGGCTCCTCAGTGCACGACTTGCAGCTCGAACAGACTGTGTTGACGTGACTTAGAATCGGGCATAGTAGACTTACCCATGGGTACCTTATGTGCAGAGAACTGGCGCCGGTATGCGATTACTGCAGGGAATTGGTTACAGTAAAACACCTCTTGACTAATTGCCTTAATTTTGAGCATCAAAGAATATTTCATAATCCTCCAAGCCAATTAGCGGAGATACTTGGTGATGATCCCCCTGTTATCAATAGACTCTTTGACTTTCTGAGATCAACGCGTTTGATACAGAAAATATAAATAGAAGGTATACATTAGATATGCATTTAGATGTATGGTTATAGGGAGGGGGCCGCGGTAGCCGAGTGGTTAAGGCATCAGACTCTCGGCTAGTAGATCCCGTGGTTGTGGGTTCGATCCCCACCGTCACCTCTGAACTTTTTCTGACGCCTAAGAGGACCGGTGGCCGCAATTGAAAGAAATTGATACGGCACTCATCAATGGAAGGGGCGGGATCGGATCTCAGCAACCCTGAATTTGGTCCCAACCCCCTTCAAAAATGAGATTCTTCGATGGAAGAACACCGGTACAACGGGGGCTCAAGTTCACAATTGTGTTGCGAGCCCTCCCCCAAAATATGGAGCCAGGGATAAAGTACAATAAGCTGTACAGCTCAGCTGCAGTGCTCAGGAGGGAACTCCTCCAGTCCCTGGTATCCAAATTAAAAAAAATANGTGTGTGTGTGCTCGCGTATGTGCATACCTATGGAAGAATAGAGAGTGTAAGGTAGAGAAGGAATGAAAGAAGAAAAAAAAATCGATAAACAAAGATAATTTCGAAGGCAGAAATAATTAATAAGTAGTTGTTGTGAGGATAAGCAACAGACAATTCCACAGTGGATAGCCGGATTGCGGGGGGCTCAGTGGGCGCGGGGCATGGGTTGGTGGTCTCCTAGGGAACCTCAGGTCAGCACTAGGATCCCTGATCTGGGAGGCATGTGGATGATAGCAGTGGCATGCACATCCCTCTGAAAGATCGGCTGCTCCAAGCAAAACTTAAATGTTCAATGCACCCGGTGGGTGGAATGCAAAAAAAAAACACCCTAATGACCCCAAACATTTGGCCCAGGGTTCAAATCCAGTCACCCAAGGTTCTTAGTGTTTGTTTTATGTTGTTAAAAAAACGCCAGCATCCCTTGGGGTTTATAAGGCCTCTGCTGTTGTGAACTCTCATCAAAAAATAAAAATAATAAGAAAGTAAAGTATGACACCCGCTCTAAATCAGAATGAAGGAAGCAAAGAGCAAAAAAGACAAAAACAATCTCCTAGCTGGGTAAGTATTGTTAAATTTCATTTCAACCAAAAACCGTACATAAAAAGATTAATTAATTGAAACAATTAATTCGGTCAATAGGGCCCTAAATAAATGGATTTAATTGTTAAATATCTTATTTCCATACATTCTATTTCCTAACAAGATAATACAACATTAAAACTTAAAGAAAAATTAAAAACAAAAAACAAGGGGACAAAAAATGCAAGGTGATCAATATTAAAGTCTAAAAATGTATTAATTGAATTTTCATTTAAATATATATATATATATTTATACTTAAATATATATGTATGCTTTTAAAAAATATGTTTATATATATGTATATAAAAATTTTTATAAATATGTAGATTTAATGGCTTTTTTTTTAAGTAAGTAGTATTGATACACCCTGGACGTTTTTATATCATCGTCACTTCTTGATTTAGTCGATAGTCTTTTTTTTTTTTGTAAACAAAAACAGATATTAACAGAAAACAAAAGAGAATAGAAACAAAATGCTCGTAACCAAGGTGATATTAAGTATCTAAATTTTCAAACGTGTCAGAACCAGTCAAAGTCTCATGCAGGTCAGTGTCTTCCATGATCTTCGAAAATGAAAAGAAAATCGAACAAAAAGCTTCTACTTTTGGATAAAGGGTAAGCAGGAAAACGAATGCATTTTGATGTTCCAGTACGTTATTTGTTTCCTTCAGTCATTAAGGAATCTTTTGAGAACTTCACTGAGATGTTTGGACAAATCGAAGGAGAGACTGGTAAAAGGTGGTGAGTTTTATTAACATTACCAATTGAAATAATAATTCTAAAACCATTAAGCAACAAAATTGTCCAATATTAAACATAAAATTTTTAAACATTAACCACGGTTTAAATTTCCAATTCTGCTTCACTCCTAAGATGACGAGTATAGTATAAATTAGCGAATTTTTGCTAGCATAAATATTTTTGTTTTTTAAACATTTATAATTCACGTCATCACTTTGGTAACAATGAATAAAAAGATTTTGTTAGTTTAAATCATCTTGTATTTTTTTATGTTTAAAAATTTGCCCAGCTCTTTTGCCACTTAGTAAAATTTTTGGTTGCTATAGAAACACCTAATTCATATTTGTCTGAAAATTTTGATAGGAAAGCTAATTCTAACTTTTAAAAAAATTCTTCTTGCAATACTAAGCAATAGGAAAACAATGACAGTTGTAACAAAAAAATTAAATAAGGGAATTTCAAAAAAACAAAAGGTTAATAGGGACATTTTTAAATTAACTAATGTAGTATTTACATGTTTTTTATTGCCCAAAATATATTTTACTATTAATTTGTGATAAATAATTTAATTTTTTGATTTTGTCAAAATACAAATACTAAACACTGGGGAAAAAATACACAGCATTATTTATACAACAGATACATGCAAACTTAAAATAGCACAACAAACAACATTCATGATGGGGAAAAATATGCAAAATTTAAAACAAATAATAATATAAAATAAGAAAAAATTTAAATATTAATTTTAAAAAAAGAGGGCAGCATTGAAAAAAATTAAAAGAAATATTAAAAATATGAGCAATATTTTTTGGAAAAAAGATTAAAATAATAAAATATATAAAAAATATTTAAAATGATGCTATAAAACATATTTTTTTAAAATTGTTATTATTAATGTTTAGGCCAGTCAACATTATCTTTTACAATCCACAGAGTGCGTGTAATGTCCTTGTCAAATGCCTTTTGTTTATATTTACCCTAATCCTAATTTGCGCATCATGTCCTTTCTCTACGTATTCTTCATCATGAGCCTAAGCCACAATCCTCTCAACGTTTCTGTTCAAATTAATACCAATGGGAAAATCAGTCTTCCTCCCATTATCTGGACCAACTGTGGGCTTTACATCGGGATCTGGTCGACCGAGACCTAACTCCGCCCTCACCCCGGAGGGCTCGCCTACTCGCAGTGATGCCCGGGGTAAGTAAAACCCTTCTTTACAACTCGTAAATTTAATCATTATTTTAATGGATAGTGAATCTATTTCTTGTTTTATTTTATTTTATTAATTTTCTTTTGAAAAACAGAATCCGCTCAATTATTAAACATTTTAAAATATTTTTTTGCTAAAGAAAAATATTGAAAAAAATATTAATTGAAAAAAGGGGGCAATATTAAAAAATGAAAAAAATATGAGCAATATTTTTGAAAGAAGAAAAAACGAAAATATTTTTTTAAAAAAAATTAAAATGGTATAAAAATATTTTAAAAAAATATATGTATGTACAAAAGATAAAAAAAGTAAATAAAAAAAAATAATAAAAAGAAAAACAATTGAATAAAAAAATAAAATAAATATATAAAAATATGAGCAAAATTTTTCAAAAAAGAAACGATTAAAATAATAAGGCAAATATATTTCAAAAAATCATATTTAAAAAATGCTATAAAAATATTTAAAGTGTATGTATATACAAAAAAGAAAAAGGGGAATATTAAAAAAAAATTCAAAAATCAGAAATTTAAAACAATATTAATTGAAAAAGGGGGCAATATTAAAAAAATGAAATAAATAAAAGAAATATATAAAATATTAATAAAAAAACAGGAAATAAAAAAATCAAACAATAATAATTGGAAAAAAGATCAATATTAAAAAATATGAGCGATATTTTTTGAAGAAAAGAAAAAAATCAACATAAAACGAATATGTAAAAAAATATTTAGAACAATGAGAATAAATAAATAATGAAAAAAAAATATACAAAAAAGAAAACAGAAAATAAAAAAAATTAAAACGATTAATTGGAAAAAAAGAGCAATATTAAAAAATTTCTGTTCAAATTAATACCAACGGGAAAATCGGTCTTCCTCCCATTATCTGGACCAACTGTGGGCATTATGATCGGGATCTGGTGGACCCGGGACCTGACTCCGCCCTCACCCCGTCGCTTACTCGCAGTGATGCCCGGGGTAAGTAAACCGCTTCTTTACAACTCGTTATTTTAATCATTATTTTAATTGATAGTGAATCCATTTCTTTTGTTTTATTTTATTTTATTAATTTTCTTTTGAAAAACAGAATCCGCTCAACTATTAAAAATTTTAAAATATTTTTTTGTTAAAGAAAAATATTGAAAAAAATATTAATTGAAAGAGGGATATTTTTGAAAGAAGAAAAAACGATTAAAATATTTTTAAAAAAAANCAGGAAATAAAAAAATCAAACAATAATAATTGGAAAAAAGATCAATATTAAAAAATATGAGCGATATTTTTTGAAGAAAAGAAAAAAATTAAAATAAAACAAATATGTAAAAAAAAATATTTAGAACAATGAGAATAAATAAATAATGAAAAAGAATATATACAAAACAGAAAACAGGAAATAAAAAAAAAATTAAAACAATTATAATTGGAAAAATAGAGCAATATTAAAAAAAAAATTAAAAAATTTCTGTTCAAATTAATACCAACAGGAAAATCGGTCTTCCTCCCATTATCTGGACCAACTGTGGGCATTATGATCGGGATCTGGTGGGCCCGGGACCTAACTCCGCCCTCACCCCGTCGCCTACTCGCAGTGACACCCCGGGTAAGTAAACCCCTCTTTACAACTTGTTGTTATTTTAATCATTATTTTAATCAATAGTGAATCCATTTCTTTTGTTTTATTTTAATCATTTTAATTTGAAAAAACAGAATCCGCTCAACTATTAAAAATTTTAAAATATTTTTTTTGTGGAAGAAAAATATTGAAACAAATATTAATTGAACATTAAAAAAAATAAAATATTAAAAAATATGAGCAATATTTCTGAAAAAAGAAAAAAATGATTAAAATATTTTTACAAAAATTAAAATATGTATATACAAAAAAGAAAAAAAGCAAATTTTAAAAAATCATTAAAAAAAAAAAGAAATTTAAAACAAAAATAAAATAAATATATAAAAATATGAGCAAAATTTTTCAAAAAAGAAAAGATTAAAATAAGACAAATATATAAAAAAATTATATTTAAAAAACATGCTATAAAAATATTAAAGTGGGCAATATTAAAAAAATGAAATAAATAAAAGAAATATTAAAAAATATGAGCAATAGTTTTGAAAATAGAAAAAAAAAATAAAATAATGATGTTTAATACATGAAAAAAATGTATTAAAATGATGCTATAGACAAATTAAATAGTATATGAATATACTAAAAAAGAAAAAAAGGAAATATAAAAAAAATTAAAACTACTAATTAAAAAAACAAGGGGGGCAATATTAAAAAAATAAATTAAAAAATATGAGATGAAAATGAAAAAAAAAATTAAAATAAGAAATATGAAAAGAAATATATTTAAAGTTGTTATAAAAAAAGTTAAAAAAGTATAATACTAAAAAAGAAAAAAAACAGGAAATAAAAAAAATAAAACTATTAATTCGAAAAAAGAAGCAATATTAAAAAATATGAGCAATATTTTTGAAAGAAGAAAAAAAGATAAAATGTTATTAAAAAAGTATAAGGTATATACAAAAAAGGAAAAACAGGAAAAAAAATTAAACAATAATTATTGGAAAAAAGATCAACATTAAAAAAATATTAAAAAATATAAGCAATATTTTTTGAAGAAAAGATAAAAATTAAAATAAAACGTAAAAAAAAATATTTAGCATACTGAGAGTAAATAAATAATAAAAAAGTATATATGCAAAAAAGAAACAGGAAATATATTAAAAAGAAAATAAATGTTTAAAAAATTTAAAAACAATCAAAATATTAATTGAAAAAATAAATATTAAAAAATATGAACAATATTAAAAAAAAATTAAAAAAATTAAAATGCAATAAAAAAAAGTAAATATATTTTTAAAAAGGAAAAGAAAAGAACTAAAAAATGATTTAAATATAAAAAAATGTTTCCACCATAGGTATTATTTTTGTCGGCTGAATTTCTAGGCAATGTTATTTGAAAATACTGTTTAAAAAATTTTAATTTCAATTAAAATTTTAAGTAGTAGTTTCAACAATAACACTGAATAGCAATTCAGTTTACAATAAAAATAGAAAGAAGAAAAAGAATGCAACATAAGGACATAATTGCACGATGGAGCTGCGTAGCGTTTGTAATGTTGAAAAAAATCAGACAGACCAAACCAGGAAGGATACTCTAGGAGGACCATAAAACTGGTGACAAAAATTATTTTCAGACCGTACAATATTGTTTTGTCAGATGAATTTCTAGGCAGTGTTAGTTGAAAATACTGTTTAAAAAATTTTAATTTCAATTAAAATTTTAAATAGTATTTTCAACAATAACACTGAATAGCAATTCAGTTTACAATAAAAATAGCAAAGAAGAAAAAGAATGCAACATAAGGACATAATTGCACAATGGAGCTGCATAGCGTTTGTACCACCACTGGAAATGTTGAAAAAAATCAGACAGGCCAAACCAGGAAGGATAGTCTAGGAGGACCATAAAACTGGTGAGACAAAAATTATCTTCAGACCGTACAATATTGGTTAGATTTTACCAACCTAAATTTCTCATTCTGATTTAAGCGATTCACCTGGGTGCAGTTCAAAGATGAAAAGTGGAAAGTCTCTCAAACTTCGTCTCCTAATGGAGTCACTAAGCAGCAACTTTACAGGTCAACTGCTCAGATGGAAGCTTGGAAGCTCTCCAGAAGAAAATTTACGGACTATTGAAATTATTTTATTAAATAAACAGGACATTTAAATAATTACTCTTTGTTATTTTATTTTGTAATAATCATACCTTAATATAAACCACTTAAACCATTTTGTAAAAAACAGAAAAAAATATTGTTGCAATGGACATTGATAAGGTTAATGCTTCAGTATTAGATGATCTCTTAGCCTGTGAAGGGTGTATTATATTTGTTCCCTTTACGAAGATTTCCTTAGAAATAAGAAAACTGGTTGTAAATTTAAGAAAGGAAGGAAAATAGCTGAGAGATATTGGCAAAACAACTTCTAAACATTCTACGATCAAAAAAAAATCCTAACAGGTTTGAAGACTGGAAACATTTTGCAAAGGATCCATGAACAGGAAATTCTGAAATGCATTTATGAAGCCTCAAAAATGAGTTCCTCCTCCCTTGTAGGCATAGAAATTGATTATAAGGTAAAACACCACAAACAATGTGAAATAAAAAATCAGAATATAGCTCAAATCTGCTAGAAAAAAAGCCTTATATTAGTAAGGTCGATAAAGGCAATCGTGCTTTCTGGGAACGAGTTTTGTTCAGCAATTTTTTTTTTCCATCTGATGGTAAAGTTCGGGTATGGCAAAAATTACATCAAGCTCTGTAGCTAAAAACTTGTGCATGGTAAAGCATGGAGGAGGTGGAATCTATGGGGCTGTATGTTTGTATTTGCTGTGAGAAAACTAAAAATTATTGGTGATATAATGGTCATACTGAGGTTTACATGTCCATGATTAAAAGAAAATCTAAAATCAAGTGATAGGAGTCTTGGTATTGGAGAATCATTTTCTTCCAACAAGACTAACTCAAAACATTGAATCGGAGAGTGGCTACCTTATTATGCTCCAAACAACTTAAAACCCCAATCACCGGACATGAACCCATTAAACTTCTTTGGGATGAGTTAAAAAGAAGACTGAAGAAAAGGAAGATTAAAATAAAATAAAAAAATAACTTAAGAGAGCATTACAAGTATTATTAGGGAAATATTGAGTCTGATGTCACTAAAAGATTGTTTTCAGTGATGAACAACTGCGTATGAGTGTAATTAAAAACAAAGGAGATCCTACAGATCATAGATTCACAGAATGTGATTAATAATAATTCCAATTAATTATTCTTTTATCTAAGGTTATTGGCTGAAATGAATAATCCCGCTCGTGACACTAATTTTTCATTTCAATTGAAAACCTTACATAAAAGAATAATTAATTGGAATAATTAATATGGCCACTAAACAAATATGAATTAATTTAACAATAGTAATAACTTCACTAATAGCTCCCCACTTCATAAGTCGCTATGAATCGAATCCTGATTACATGAAAATATAGCAAAAAGAGGGACAACTTGAATGGCAGTAGGTTGAGATAGGGAGTTAGTGCCCGAGAACCGAAGGTTGTGGGTTCGAATCCTGTCCGTGACACTAATTTTTCATTTCAACAAAAAACCTTAGATAAAAGATTATTCGGAGATCGTGAGATGCGGTCTGGTGTGATGTAGGTTTCAGAAAAATACTTTCTTTATCGTACCAACTTTCGATCTTTATTGAGATCATCTTCAAGGCCTGGGATTGATATATTGCTTAAATTTTACAAATACATGTAGGATGTGAAATTTAAACAATGTTTATAAATCCCAGGTCCTGAAGATGATCTCAATAATGATCGAAACGTTGGCATGATAAAATGTTTTTCTGAAACCTACATCACACAGTCACTAAACACCACACACTTAGGTAAAAGAATAATTAATATGGTAAATTATGACCACTAAACAAATATGGATTACTAATAATATAGCAATTATTGAGAAACCAAGGCTTATAAAAATTAATTGGTTTTGAATTTTCACAATAAAATTTGATATTTTGTTGCAACAAGCTGTACTCATGTTCTACATTATTAAAACTTTTTTTTTTTATAGGCGAACAACTAATAGGTTCTATGTTTTTTATTGACGTAATCAATTATTTATTGCAGTAACATAATTTAATGGCATGGTGTACCTAGACTTTGTTTACTACCTGTATTTTCAAGGCTTGTAAGAGAGATAATATGAAAGCAATAAATAATGCATTGTTTTAAAGTGAGTCATAGACAGTAGCCCATTAAAAAATGTAGTCATATCTGCCAAAGATAAGATTTAAAAATTTAATTAAAATTATTTCATTTGATTCCATGATTGCTTTCATTCAAAAATACTACAGCAGTGTAAATATTTTTACTAATTTTTGCAATATTTAAAATTATTTTTTTTGATGGTCTGTCTATTCCATCTGTAAGCGGATATTACCATTTTCAATTAAATTTCTTCATCTGGTCTGTGGATGATGAACCTGTATTTTGTTAATTACCAATCAATTTGGTCTGCCTAGCATATTACGCATATGTAGACTCAGAGTGGCAGAAACAAGCCTATATAGGTAGTGCCAAGAAAAGCCAGGGCCTAAATGATACACAGCCCCTGAAGGGAGCCCTTGAAAAAGCTTTGGGGTCTGGTGAAAAGCCTTAAGCTTAACGAATTCTAGATTTAAAAAAAAAATGGACAATAGACCAATACTGGTCGCGGTGTGTAGGTCGTAAAAACGCCAGCTCATATATAATCTGATTCAAAGGAGCTACACAAACTGAATAACCAAAAATAAACTACCTCTCTCCCTTTATGATCTGATAGTGGGTGTCTCTAACCCACTCAACTAGCCTTCTACTCCCTTGGATTCGAATTGACGCCTAGCACATAGAATCACACCCCAATATCCCATTCAGAAGACTTCTTTTACACTGGGTGCCTGTTACACCAAAAGGCATCTCATATGCTGGGGGTCCTCGTGAATGGGTCCCCTAAATTTTGTGGGTGTCGTTCCACCAGATTTTAGACTCATTAAGGCCTCTTTCAGACGAGGTGGCTTGGTTGATCAACTAAATTGCCTCTGGTTAACTTTCAAGTAGTTTATTGCCATGTGAAGACTGCTCGTTTCACACCAGGCAACTTGAGGAATCAACCTCTCTTCACAAACGAGAAGGTCAGTACGAGGGAATGCTGAGGGAGCAAAAAAGGAGGGAAACCAGTAAAGAAAAGTGTGGGTTTATCTGTTTTTATAAAATTGGGAAACAGGCGCTTTCTCTACAATACTATTGTGCAACTTCTCCCCAAGCTTCACTTCTTTTACTTTTGTCACTATACTCCTCACACCACATGTCCCATATTACGAGACTAATACGAATTTCTTCACTGCTCCACATTGAAACTTGCAATTGCAAAGCTTTCCATGGTCAATTCAGTTGACTCAACTACGCAACTGGTGTGAAGGACGAATGCCGAGCAGTTGTTGAGTCAACCAGTCAGGATGAGAACTAAGCGGCACTTGTGCGCCTGCTGGCCACCCACCTTGGCGGACGAGTTGACTGCGTGTGAAGGGGTCGGGGCAATTCTGAAACATTTTGCCACCATGACCGCTTGATACCCATTCAACTAGTTGAATCAACTAGCCGCCCAGTCTGAAAGAGGCCTAATCCTTTTTTGTGGCAAGGTAGACCACGATAATATGGTCCTAGAGAATTCATATTGGCTCTCTTATTGACTCTATGCCCCGATGCCCAGGTAAAGAACGGGGGATACAATAGGTGTGGTATATTACCCTGAATTAAACAAATCTAGACTGGTTTTGGAGTGTTGAGGGCATTTATGTTTTATGATTATTTTACATGTTGCACTTACCGCTGGCTCCGCCCAGTAGGTAATATTTATTTGAAAAATATTCTTCTTCGGCGTGATAGCTGACAGACCGATCTTCAGTCTGGCCGTCATCTTTCCTGTAGCTTTCCGTCCCTACCCAGGAGACCTTCGCCTCACCGGTGATTTTAACTTTAAGCCCTGTAAAATGATCAAAAATGATTTTTTTTTCTCGTCAAGAGGTTGGACGTTAAAGTTGCTCACCCCTGGCTTTTTTCGGTTTGTCGAAATTGACAATGACACGGCCCGTAACCGTCGTTCCGGCGTAGTAGGAATTGGTCGGGCTGTCGAAAACGATCCGCACGTTTGACATTTCTCAGGAATGATATTTATTCTCGTCCGAACGCACCAAAGCCCATCCCAACAGGAATGCGTTTCCCGTCGGTTCTAAATATAACCCGGACCGATGATTACGCCAGTCAAATAGGTCTAGGAAATAGGGTCAGACTAAGGTCGTGACGGAAAAACGAATAAAAACAAACTCAAGAAGAAGGGGAACTGCTCGTCGTACTCAAGGACTTTTTCAATTGAATACGATCAAGATCAACCAAAAAATGAGAGAAATATCGACAAACGGCCTCTTTTCCCCTACTGACAATTGTGAGACCTGTTGAGCTGATTAAAAATCGCAAGTTAAGCAATTTTCTTCAAGAAAACTGTCAACGTCAAATGACACGCTTTTGTAAACAAGCTGGCATATAAAAATCAGCAAATTTGATTATCTGGGACAGTCACAAAGGACGATTTCGTAATCTGTCAGGGCGCGGGCAACTGTTATCGAACCTTCAACTAAGGAATGACAATTCGCCGCCAACCAATAAAAGCCAAAATTTGGGTGCAGACCACTAGTGGTCTAAGTGCCTATTCTTCATTGGTTGGTCCGTCAGACGCCATCTTTGTGGCTGTTTTTATCTACTTAAAAATATATTATTTCATGGTGGTAGGTGAACACTTTGATTATTAAGGACGAAGATAGATGTGCATACACCAACATAAGTCAAAAAAAATTTGGTCATTGATCATTATTGGTCTAAGTGCCTATTCTTCATTGGTTGGTCTGTCAGACGCCATCTTTGTGGCTGTTTTTTATCTACTTAAAAATATATTATTTCATGGTGATAGGTGAACACTTTAATTATTAAGGACAAAGATAGATGTGCATATGCCAACGTAAGTTAAAAGAAATTTGGTCATTGATCATTATTGGTCCAAATGCCTATTCTCCCTGGCTTGGCCAGTCGGACGCCAAATTTGGTAGTTTTTTTTTTTTTTATTTCATTCATAATAGTAAATTTACTTAAGAATATCAAATTATTTCATGGTGGTAGGTGGACGCTTTGATTATTAAGGAAGAAAGTATATATTCAGAGATGTACACACACCAATATAAGTTGAAAAAAATTTGTTCATCAAGATCCTATTCTCCCTGGCTTGGTCAGTTGGACGCCATCTTTACATTAAGGATGAACGAGTATATTTTAGATGCATGCATACACACACACACACACACACACACACACACACACACACACACACAAACACAAACACACACACACACACACACAAAAGTCAAAAGTAATTTGGTCACCGATCATTATTGGTGTAAGTGTTAATGTTGCAGGTTTGTTTAGTCAGACGCCATCTTCATTTTTATTTCTCATTAATTCATAATAGAAAATCTATTTAAAAATTCCCAAATCTTTGCATGGTGGTAGATGCTTTGGTTATTAAGGAAGAAAATATATATATTCAGAAATTTACGCACACCAACATAAGTCAAACGAAATTTGGTCATTAAGTGCCTATTCTTCATGGCTTGGTCTGTCAGATGCCATCTTTGGGTTTTTTTCATTTATAATCTACTTAAAACTATCAAATTCTTTCATGGCGATAGGTGGATGCTTTGGTTATTAAGAAAGAAAATATATATTCGTAAATGTGCATACACCGACATAAGTCAAAAGAAATTTCGTCATTGATCATTATTGGTTTAAGTGCCTATTCTCCTTGGTTTGTTCAGCCGGACACCATATTTGGTAGTTTTTTTTTGTTTTTTTTTCATTCATAATAGTAAATCTACTTCAAAATATCAAATTATTTAATGGTGGTAGGTGGACACTTTGGTTATTTAGCAAGAAAATATATATTGGGAGATGTACGCACACCAACATAAGTTGAACAAAATTTGGTCAACAAGTGCCTATTCTCTCTGGCTTGGTCAGTTGGACGCCATCTGTGGTTGATTTTTGTCCACTTAAAAATATAAAATCCTTTGCAAAGTGTTAATGTTGCAGGTTTGTTTAGATGCCATCTTCATTTTTTCCTGGTACTTCATAATATAATCTACAATATTTATTTGTTTTTGTCCACAGGGTTTGTTGAGACCAGGGGGAAAAGGCAATGAAACTTATCCATTATTGATAACAGAATGTTATGCCTTTTGATTGTTTTTAATAATTATATTTTTCATAAATTTGATTGACGTGAACAAGCCGTTACCTTCCCCAAGGGCTTTTTAGCCCTTTCTTGTGCATGCATTTTTTCCATGCTGTTCTTACCAAATGATCTGTAAGAGAGGAGGACAATTTTCACTATTATTACAAACCCCCTCTTTCATATCTAATGCTATTCAAATTTATTTTGCCTTAATTTTTAAATTTAACATGTCAAGACTTACTGCCCTAATTCATTCTTGGTTTGGACCACCTCATCGGTTGATTTGATGTTCTCTAAATACTTTGTACAAGATTCGTCTGGATTGAGGATTATTAAGGGGATTTCGGCGACCAAGTTTTGAACTGGTTCTTTAACAAATGCAGCTACCTGAAAAGAAAGAAAAAATCTGAGTCCAAGATTTAAAACTTCAACTTATAATAATTTTGGATGGGTGTTTTTTTCTTCAATTTCAGCAATTTGGCCCAAATTTGTCAAAATAAAACCGTCCTGAGGAAGACAAAGGACAAATATCTAATAATTTATATCCAGTCTGTATGGTTTTCCTGTCAACCTTGACACCTTTTCATCGGATTTTACCATGATTATCAAAAAGGAACACTTATTATGCAGGATTTTTATCTACTATTCATCATACCGAGGGCAGTTTTAAGATTGATTAAAGATTTTTATGAATATATAAAATTCAACATATTTATAATGTGATGGAAATTCATAATGGAATTCTTTCAAAAAATTCTGGGTGGTGGGTGGACACTTTGGCTATTAAGGGTAAAAATACTTATTCATAGATGCACACATAACAACGAAAGTCAAAAGTAATTTGGACATTGATCATTATTGGTCTAAGTACCTATTCTTCATGATTTGGTCAGTCAAATTTATTTCAATTCTTTGCTAAGTTCAATGATTTTTTCCCCCCGTTATAATAGAAAATCTACTTAAAAATCCCAAAATCTTTTAATGGTGGTAGGTGGATGTTTTTGGGTATTAGGGATGAAAATGTATATTCATAGATGCACACATAACAACGAAAGTCAAAAGTAATTTGGACATTGATCATTATTGGTCTAAGTAACTATTCTTCATGATTTGGTCAGTCAAATATATTTCAATTCTTTGCTAAGTTCAATGATTTTTTCCCCCGTTATAATAGAAAATCTACTTAAAAATCCCAAAATCTTTTAATGGTGGTAGGTGGATGCTTTTGGTATTAGGGATGAAAATGTATATTCATAGATGCACACATAACAACAAAAGTAATTTGGACATTGATCATTATTGGTCTAAGTACCTATTCTTCCTAGTTTAGTCAGTCAAATGACATGACATGATAGATAAAACACTTTTTGTAAAATATATGGTTTTACTCTTTAGTAAAACGAACTTTTACAAAAAATGAATGTAAATAGTCATCGCACCTTCATTATTTCTATGATAAAATGTCACATGTTTCAGTTTTGCCTATCTCTGTCATAAACGAGGTGTGGTTTGATTTCCAGCTTTGCCCTTGGAGTTTTACAACCCCTCACCCACATGGTCAAAGCTAGGGTTTGTAATGATTAAAAGAAGTCAATGAAAATTATGTTTTTCAAATAAAACTAGCAACATATGGTCTCACAATAAGCCGTTAGACTTTCAATTTCCACACCCTGTTTATAACCTAGCCAACATTGCTCCTGTCAGGCCAAACTACCAAGAATAGAAGGACCTCAAGATATCTTTCAGAGAAGTTTTTATCCATAAAGTTTAAAAAAAAAAATAGGCTAAAATACGATGTCCTACAGTCCAATATGCCAAACAGCAGAACGGAAAAACAAAGTGTGTCAGCATAGTGGATGTGCAGAGTGAAACCGAACATCCATGAATGTACTTCCATATAATTAGATTGTAACTTTCTCCTGGATGCCTGATGGCGATCCAAATTTAAATCAAGTTCGTTCACTAAGGAATCAGGAAAAGGCCTATTTTACCTATTTTAACCTGAAAAATTCAAAGATTAAAGAATGGGTTGTTCGAGTGTTCTTTTTACACTAATAAATTCATTCCAATAGATTAAAATAAATGCAACATTTGATAGAAATATAGAAGTCTGGTCGCATTCACTCCCCCAGGGTACTCAAAATTCCTCGGGGTGGGGTTGAACCAAATCCATTCTTGCTAGTAAATTACTTTACCATTGCTTATCAATTACCCCAGAAAACTCGAAATTACACTGAAAGGGGTTAATTCAACAGTAAACAATAAAAAATGATTTTGCTCACTTTTAAAACAAAAACAATACTAATTATGGAACAATTATCAATGTTGATAAGCGGTGTTCCAGGAATGGCTAATTTTACTGAATACGATTTTGTCGCGTCTGGCCCAACTCCATCCAGTTCTATCCCTACAAGAACTATAGAATCAACTATTGAGTTATTTCTTGGCTGTTGTGCCACCCACTCAGTTCTCTGAAATAAAGAGTTCGATAAATAAACTGAAATTTTAATCCTTTTGGCCGCAGGGTACCTTTTCTATTTTACAATCGATCTTTTCCACGTTTGAGGTGCTCGAGTTGTCCATGTCTATAATCACCGGGATAGTTTCGCTGAGATTGAAGAACTTCTGCGGTATGCTAACTTGCAAGGAGAGGTTGCCGGAACGGAGGCAACTACAGCGTCGGATCGTTTTCTGCACGTCTTTCTTCACCGGAGCCTTAAACGTCAAAAATCTGTTTTAATCCAAAATCATTGACTCAACATACATACTTTTGTTGTCATAAGTTCTTCTTTGGGAGCGCGCGGCATGATGATGGTAATAGGCGATGTCGCTTCGTGCTCTGTCTTCCCCGGAATGTCGATGAAGGCGGAAATGCTGTACCTGACATATCCTCTTCCACCTTCGAAAGACGACGGCAAATGGAGTGGCACTGATACTTTAAATTTGAAAACATTTTCTCCAGATGGAAAATAAACTCTTCCTAGAATTTCAATGATTCAACAATTATTTAAACGTAAACTTTGTATCAATGGGAATTGATGAATGCCCACTTCTGGCTCAAAAAGGAAAAATTTTTTAATAGGAATACAAAACGGCTCGTTTTCTTGTCTTTTCTAATTCAAGCCTTTAATTTAACCTTCAAGCACTTAGGAAGAAGAAAAGTTTAGTAGTTTAGACCAAGGTTGGAAGTAAAGATGTGGTGGGAAATATCCAAATCAATCAGAAAAGGGATCCAAATCCCTAACTTCTGTTAATGATAAGTAATTTGACTTTGTTTCCACTGATTTGTTTAATGATGATCACAAAATATACCAATGACCTAAATATATAACCAAAATAATCAGTCCAAAAGTTAAGAATACAAAAAGGTGTTTTTTCAAGGTTATGCTAATGGTATACTGGACCCCAGGATATGGAGCAGTTGAATAAAAATAAAATTAGCCTTGGAAGAAAAGGGGTTGCTACACTGCTCAGAGGACCCAAACTCGCTATCAATAAGTAAACCAAGAAGTATTTTTTTAATTATCTATCAGAGGATGGCAACGACCTGGAGAGAAATCCAAATCGGACCAAAAGATAAGAATACAGAAAGGTGCCTTTATGAAAGGTTTTGCTAATGGCATACTGAACCCCAGAGGATGTAGCAGTTGAGTAATAAAAGAAAAGCTCCCTTGCAATAAATGGAGCTGCTACATGGCTCTCTGGAACCCTGAATTATAAGTAAACCAAGAAGTGTTTTCTAATGATCCACCTGTGCATGGAGATATACCAATTACCTGGGGGGATATCCAAAAGGTAAGTATTCAATTTTTTTTTTTAAATAAATTCTCCTAATGCTATGCAGGACCTAAAGACATGCTTTACTATGCTTACTGCACCCAAACCCTCTGGTATTTGTAAAACAATGTTTTTCTCCAATGGTCTAAAATCGAACAACTACCAAACCTATGAGAATTCTCAATACTCTTTTACACACATGGGATTTAGTCAACTTCTTGCACCCGACAGCTGCACTGAGAGGCCGATACCATACTGAACACCTACGAGGAAGGGAAAGCCTAGGAACTCTTTGACAGTGTCTCTGAGGATTTTTTTCAGAAAATACCAGGGAATCTCCAATTCTTAAGCAGGGTTTCTACTGTACACAAGTCACTTGTGAAACTTGTCTCATATTGTGGAGACTTAGTCGGGACTGCGAAACTTTTAGCCGAGGATGTTTCAGGGTGAGCCGACCAGCTGTTTTTTTTTTAGTGTGCATCATTGTTTCACGTTTGTTTGTTTCCCTTTGTGTAGACACACTTGTCTCGAGTGTGAGATTGAAATGAGTTTGTCTTATCCAAATGTATCAAGGCTACCGACATTTGTGGGATGCTAAAGATAAAACTCATAATAAATAAAAATAATAAAATTCAACTCAACTTCTTTTTCTTTTTTACATGAAGTATTGTCATGACAGCAAATGATGATGCAGCAGTTTGAGTAGTTATAAACAGCAAGCTTGTCTTGGGCAACTGATGGCTCACCTTGTTTCACCTCTTGAAAATGGTTAACCCGAGATAGCATTTCGTGAGTAATTCTTGTGTTTAGTTGCATGAGTGATTTTTCTGTGCAGTGGAAACCCAGCTTTAGGCTATTGAATCTGGAGTCCCACAAGGTGGAGTGTTAAGCCCATTTCTTTAACTTGTCTACGACTTTGAACTTGTGACCAACAATTCTCAACCTTATCAAAAATACCTTTATTAACATTGGATGGTAATACCAATTGGATGAAAAGCTAACACGGGCTAACTCTTATAAATAAAAAATTGTAAAAAATAAGCGACAGAACAGGTTCATCAAAAACCTTCTGGACGGCTGGTCATCCAAGAAATTGGCAACTAAAAATCTGCTCTAACCTTCGCCCAAATTGGCAAAACCTTATGAACCAACAGTACAATCTCACCCGCAGAGTGTGCAAACAACCCGAAATAAAATCTTAAGAATGATATACTGCACCGAGTTATTACCATTTTAATCAAAGAGGCCTATAAGAAGGTCCACATTGCTGTAAGCCACCATATGCCATGAGCAGCTGCAAATAGACTACTTAAATTTTACACAGACACACTGAAGATGACTACTGACACTTCTTACTGACAACCAAGCAAGGATAGACCAAAATGATTAGTACTGACCAAATTTCAGCGATAAGATAAATCCTGCATAAAATTATTGCATAGACATTTTAAATAAAACAAAAGCCTGCTTAATGTATTGTTTTATACATTTAACTAATAGTTATAATTTTTTTAAAATTTCAAGCACTTCTATGATGGCTTTTAAGTATTAAACGATTACTTTGCAAGTTTAATAAGCCAATAATTAATAATAGTAGCCAGGTGTATAATAAACAATCTAACTAAAAAAGTCATGTGTTGCCTTGTTTAAGGTCATTTTTCATTTTAAAATTATAGTTTTTCTTTAAAGTTTACGAGTGTTGCGAATTTGAACATGAAAAGAAGACGAAAACCAGGGACTGGAAATATTTGTCTTACAATTTATGATAGCCAGTTAACATTTTTACATCGATGAGGCCTAAACTATTGAAAAAAATGAAAGCAGAACGAACCAGTCGAATGTCCCACGAGGTAAAATTTACTTGTCAAGTATGTTTCTTCTGAGCTGTACTTCACGAATTTAAATTTCCTCAGAAGACCTAGCTTTGTTTTGTACGGTTCGATCCAGCTGAGTTTAGCCAGCCCTTCGAGTTTCACTACAAGCCCTGAAATGTTAAAAGTCTCAAGTAAGAAACCGAAAAATGGGCCAATGATGTCAAAACTTAACTCTGGCGTAGTGCGGCTTGTCCAGGTCGATTTTCACATTTCCAGTGATTTCTGAGCCAGCTATGAAGGAATCTGTTTCGCAGTCTAGAACAATTCTGACTGACATATCAAGGGGCGATTTTGTCGATGCATTGAGAAGAGGAATCCAAGACGAAACTATGGACGGGTTTAGAATGAAAGGCCTCTCAAAAAATCACATAAACCCTCCATTTTCCTGCATGTTTAGAACTAATCATATGACAAAATCTAACTTTTTTTATAGTAAATTACATAAACAGATCAAAGCGGATGATTTTTGCAAAGCTGTTAAAACATGGGAAGATCCAGAAAATTTTAACAAATAAATTATAATACCAGATGAAAGTTGGCACAATTTTTATTTTATTCTTACATTTAAATAATATAGAAGAAATAGGAATTGTATAACCTGGAACAAAACAAGAAATTAAGTTGAATTTTGATTGTTAACGAGCATTTTGGTCTGCCTATCCTCGCTGGGTTGGTCTTGGTAGGCGGGACAGGCCATCCAAGCGAGGATAGGCAGACCAAAACAATCGATAACAACCAAAATTAATTAGACAAGAGCTCAAAGGTTGCACAATAAAATAACATTTTAATGGTATTTTGGGGTGATTTTATATTCATAGGAAATATGCATTGGGCTAAGTTTGATTAGGAATAGTTAGGATTAGGTTTAGGGATGAGTTAGTGGTAGGATAATGATTTGGTTAGTTTAGGGTTCAGGATAGGTTACTTATCCATGATTCAATGTTTTTACTTAAAATGAAAATTTGTGAGTGCTAAGTACAAGGTTTCAACTTTAATCTCTCACTCAGACCAACCTCTCATTTCCTTACATTCACTTTATCTGTTTAAAATCACTTCACTTTCACAATCACTAGTGGCTGAATCACACATAGCACATGAAGCAAAGCGTTCTCCACTCATGACCATCTGATTGCCACAGGCCAAAATTTGGCATTCATCTGTGATGAGAACATCCCCCCATTGTTCAAATGTCCAAACGAGTTGCTGATTTGGGAAGACGTTTTTCCACTCGATTAGTAAGAACCTGATGTGGGAACCCTTTTAAAAAAGATGGTTCCTACTCACATTAAGTTGTTTCGCAACTTGCGCAAGTGCAACTTAATGTGAGTAGGAACCATCTTTTTTAAAAAGGATTGAACTCCACACTCACCCCATCATTTATAATTTCTACCTGATGTGGGACGTCTAGAGACTAGTCTATTATCAAGAAAACTTTTAATGACTCTTTTAGAGCTAACCTTTACACATATCTTTTTAGTTATCAAGGAAGCCGATAAATGATGATTCCACGTTGTGAAAGAGCAATAAAACAATCATCTCTAGCCATCATAAATCACGTCAACCAATTTTCTCACCCTAAACTGGTATCATTGTGGATGGTAGAGCACAGCACAGCCAGAATTTAGGCTATGAAATAGATGGCATGTCTATCATTGGCCAAGCATCCCCCAGGAGAGTCTTCTAGACTTAAAATCATGCTTTTAGGAAGAAAAAAGTGAATTTTTACTAAAATTATTGTTTCAAATAAAAATAAAAAAATCAATTAATTCACTTGACAAGTTGTCTCTGGAAAAGATGAAATTGAATGGATTTTCTTTATTTTTAATCTAAAGAGTGTGACAGGATTAGTTACACTTTATAGAGGAAAATGACAATTTTATTAAAGTTGTGTTTATGTTTTAAGTCAAATATTAATATTTATTTCAATTAGTCATGGTAGCTCAAGTGGTTAGAGCAGCGGCGTATTGAACCGGTTCAAATTCCGCTCGAGACACTTTTTCATCTTGACCCAGACTGTGGTGAGCGGCAGAGAGTTGAGGTGCTTAGAGTGAGTAGTGAGCTACTCTAGGCGCGTCAAGCCTTTGGCTAGGGTGTCAGGCTGCCTGACACTAATTCTCCTGGGGTTGGTTTAGGAAAAAAAAAGGACAACAATTTGGATACATTCCAGGCCCTTTATTTAATTAGGGTTTAAATGAGGTGATTCATTAAATAATCCCCGACATTTTCTATCACTTATAATCTAAATAAAAAGACCATCTTACTTCTCTATTTTATTCCTATTGAACAATTCACAACGTAATTCTAAATAATTAACCAATTTAGTGGTTTATTAGGTCCCAATTCTTTCTCATAATTTACACACCCTAATTCTTGAATAATTTCTATCCCTACTTATAAATTAAATAAATGCTTTAATATATAAATAAATTTCCAAAGAATCTCTGGTCCCATCGTGAGTCGGCTTATTCCTTGAGGAACTTATTACTCAAATTACTCGCCTCGAAATCGCCCCGTTTTCCAATTCTCCCACCAACTGATTGACAAACCTTGTGCTTACAGAACTGGAATGCCGGTTTGTCCTACTGACTTCTGGCCGATTCCAACTGCCTTTTCTCTGCGCCGGCTTTCCTGACTGACTCCTAGTTCTTTTGGGATCGTATTTAAGCCAATCAGTTGGGGAGGAGGTGGGGGACCCTCCTAAGGGTCAAGCTTAGGAAATACTGTTTTGATTCCTGATGACCCGATTGCCCTTTTTCTTACCCAGGTTGTTGAGCTTTTCCGGGTGAATCCGGACATTAGCTGATCCTAGGGGGATTGAGCAATAAGGCCACGTATCAGGACAACAGTAAATATTTCCGTGCCGATTGCCCAGGATCAACCCATCTTTCTAATCGTAAACACTCAGGTGTTATTATTTCGCCGACTTTGTTTAGCTGTGACTGTGGTTTTCGTGAAAGACTAGATCGACTCCCATGATTCGAGGACATTTCCGATGACCCAACTTTACACAATATGCTTTCCCAACAATTAGCTGGAATATCCTTCCTTCCCATCGTAATATTTGCAATGAATTTAACTCCTAATAAAATCTGTTTAAGATTCCTTTCAGGAATCTTCACAAAGACCTTAGTTAGAAAGAATAATTAATTGAAATAATTAATATGGTCAATTATGACTGTTAAACATGTAAGGATGGATATCTCAAGCGATATTTACACCTAGTTATTAGGTAAAATAAATATATACAAATGTCTTGTTTTTTTGTTTTTGAATGTATTACTTAATAGCAATGTTTAGTCTATATTGTAAATGGTAATTAAAAAATAATGTCCCCCAACCAAGAGGAGTATAAGTTGATGCTTATTATCAACTTAGTTCCCTGAATGAAAAGAGTGGCTCAAGTGTTGAAAAACTCTATCAGTGCTGCTTCAAAGTTTTTAAACTGTTTTAAATTTTTATCCATCTTCTTGTTGCACTCGCTTCCGAGAAATTTAAGATACTGTAATAATAAAGAAAACATTTTACAAGCAAAAATTAATTTTTGTCCCTAGACGGTTACTTCGAGGCTGACGAGCAATCCCCCTGAGTTCGATATCGGCACCTCCACGTTCAACGTGCTTCTGACGCCGAGTGTGATCTTTCCGTTGGCTCCGAGCACGATGCCAGAATTTCTGTATCCGCAGTTCAAAGCGCAAGAAAGCTGTAAATGTACTTCGGTAATTTTTAACTTTTGACATATTTCATAATGAAAAATAAAAGAAACATACAAGGGATTTGGCGTTTTCAAGACTTTGACACCCGACATGCAAGATAAAAGGTTCAAACTTGACGACAAGGTCATTTATTGAATTTTCAGAACATTTGTTGAGAAATTCATCATCGTCGACTTCACCGTGTGTGGTGTAAATCCACCGGCAGCCTTTCTTTAATTCGCTCTAAAAGAAAACTTAATTAAATGTTTTTAATTTAATTTTTATTATTATTTAATTACCTGCGAGACGACTATAGTCCTTCCTGAACATGAACTCAAAGTGACATAAGATTTTTGACAATTGATCAACTCAACAAGGTCAACAATTGCACTGTCGATTTGACCCTTTTTACTGAAATCTTTCCCTTTTAAAACCTGTTTTTTGAAATTTAAAAATTCCTTGTCGTTCATTGTTTCAGGTCAATTATTGACCCAAAGTGAAGCCTGATGATAGAAGACACACGTGTCATGACATATCATGATGATTATAACCTCGGTGCAACCGTCTAGGCAACGTTATCTTTTTTAATTTATTTTGGTTGTTTTTGTTCTTTTAAAAGGAAAATAATTGTTTATATAAAAAAATAATGATTCTCCAGTAAATAAATAACTGTGGTTTATCAAAGTATAATCAATAATTATTGGTGCTATTTGAAAATTATTAACTAACATGGATATTGGATGTAGCATGGATATACTCAAGTTAATCTTTCCCGATGGAATCCCAGGTAAATATAATTTAAATACTATTTTTTTTAAAAACTAACGAACATTCCTGTCTTATATGATCAGATCTTCCAGTGATTGACCATGATAGAAACATGAAAGAAAATCAATTATTTTTAAAGGAATTTCACCACTTTTTACTCAACTCTGCTGAATTGTTTAGAATTTAGGCCTTTTTTTGCATTGGACTTTTAAACTTAGCAGGTGACAAGATTTCTCTGCTTATTAAAGGCAGAGTCGGCAAGATTCAGGTTTAACGTTGCGGTCAGGTCCAGTGAAGAATCTTATGATTTTACTCGATACTATCCGAGCGAGATCTTTTTTTGTTGTAAAACCGTTTTAAACCAAGACACAAGTTCACAGAAATCACACAGACATATTGAAGATGGCAAAATTCTGAAATGCATTAGGCATACCAACATAGCGAGGATAGGCCAGCCAAAATGATCCGTAATGACCAAACTGCAGTTATAATTTAAGAGACTCAATTTCACAGAAATCACAGTGACATGCTGAGTGGCAAACTGCTGAAACCTGTTTGACAGACCAACAAAGCGAGGATAGGCCAGCCAAAATGATCTGTAACGACCAAACTGCAGTTATAATTTAAGAGGCTCAACTTCACAGAAATCACACAGACGTACTGAAGGTGGCAAACTGCTGTAACCTGTTTGACAGGCCAATACAGCGAGGATAGGCTGGCCAAAATGATCTGTAACAACCAAATTGCAGTTATAATTTAAGAGACCCAACTTCACAGAAATCACACAGACATACTGAATCCTTTTTAAAATGATAGAGTAAGTTGTTTTTGCAACGATCCAGATTTTGAGCTTTTAGCTCATCATCAGATTGAAGGATTTCTGCAACCATGTTTCTCGACATGAATTGCATAAGTTAATGAAAAGTGTGAATTGCACATTCATGTAGAAATCCTTCAACCTGATGATGAGCTAAAAGCTCGAAATCCGGATCGTTGCAAAACAACTTACTGTGAGTAGGAACTGTTGTTTTAAAAAGGATTGAACCCGCATTCATTCCATCATTCATCATTTCTATTAACAGACATACTGAAAGTGGTAAAATGCTGAAACGAATTTGGCAGACCAACAAAATGAGGGTAGGCATGCCAAAATGATCTGTAATGACCAAATTACAGTTGTAATAAGGGAGACTCGACTGCAAGAAATCACCGGACTAATTGAAGATGCCAAAATGCTGAAACACGTTTGGCAGGCCATTAAAACAATAGGCAGGTCAAAATGGTCTTTGAAGACCAAATTACATTCATAGAGAGCATCCTTAAAAGTTCAGAGAAGGAGCGGTCCTCCAGGAAAGATGAGACCCGACCCAGTAGAAGCTCATCGCCAAAAGCTTTAAATTTATCCAACTAGATAAATCACCCCAATATTTCCAAATATTTAATGCCATGCTCAGGGCCACTTATTTTCCCTTCAAGTGGAAGCTTGCCCACATAGTGATGATCCCCAAGCCACAAAAGGACAAATCAAATCCGGAAAATTATCGGCCAATAAGTTTACTTAGCATTGTTGCTAAAACTTTTGAACGGCTAATTCTTCCGACCCTCATGAAATACCTGAAGCCACTGATCCCAGATCATCAATTTGGTTTCCGAGAAGGACACTCCTGCCCACAACAGCTCCAGAGGAATTGACATCCTCGATGCCTCCGGACATAAAAAAGTCACGCTGGGGTTATTTCTTGATACAGAGAAAGCTTCGACAGAGTATGGCATATAGGACTATTAGCAAAAATAAAAGTCAGCCTACCGGACACCTACTATTGACTTATTCTTTCCTACCTGTCGGAAAGAACTTTCTGTGTCAAAGTATAGGATGGCATTTCTGACCCAAAGCCCGTATTTTCTAGTGTCCCACAAGGCAGCATTGTGGGGCCTCTCCTCTATTTGGTGAGCGTGAGTGATCTCTCATCCCAAATCCCAGGAACAGTCAAGACAGCACTTTTTGCTGATGATGTGGCTATATTGAGCACAGGGGAAACCAGCACAGAGGTACAACAGACCCTGCAACAAGTCTCTGAATGGGCGGATAAGTGGAAAGTCAAGCTAAACCCAGATAAATCAAAATTAGTCCAGTTCACTTATCTGAAAAAAGCCAATGAACAACAACTGGTACTAATAAGAATATCAGTGAATCGAACACAAAATATCTGGGTGTTACTCTTGACCGGAGGCTGACTTGGCATCAACACATAAGCGATGTGCTAAAGAGATCACGATGCAGACTAATTTACCTCAAACCACTACTTAAGAGCCCAACTATCAGTCTGAGCAACAAAAGACTAATATATATGTCCCTCATTCGACCCATATGGCTATATGGCTCTGGTGTTTGGGCCTCAGCGTTGAACAGCCAAATTAAGAGAATCCAGACATTTCAAAACAGGGCCTTACGAATTTTAACTGGAGCCCCCTGGTATGTGCGAAATACCACAAAGCACCGAGACCTGGACATTCCTCTAGTGGACCATGCACTGAGAGACAGCTACCGGAAGATGTTTAGCAAGTTCCAGTCCCACCCAAACACAGAAATCCAAGGAATACCGGACCACCTACCTCCTGCACGTTCACACCGCAGACTCAAGTGCAAGCGACACACCGATATGATAACTAACTATAATTAACTGTGATAAACTGTGATTAAATTAGATTAAATCATGTATAAATGGGGGGAGCTGCTGAGCTTTAAGATCCAAGGACTGTTTGATGCCATTAAACATTATGCCACAACTATAAGGTACTATGTACAAAAGTTTAAATAAAGTTGTATAGATGTAAAAAAAAAAAATCTATGAACCAGTTCAAAGACTTTGAATAGGATAGGAAATGGAATGTACTTAGAAATTATTCCTCAGAGAATTCAGTAGCAAATCTTTATAATTAAGTTTGTAGTTGTTGATCGGACAATCTGGATGAAGAAACGGGCCTAAACAAGCAAGAAAGCTAATCAGCAACTAAAGAGTACATTGGCAATTTCCCTTTGATTTCATGATTATTTTGCAAAAATATCAGCGTAATTTTATACATAACAGTTTCTTTTGCTTAGTTTGCTATGAGAGCTGTAAAAATAGGTTATTCTTGAATACTTATTAATACTTAAAAGATTGAAAATTGTCTAAATCTGAGCTTTATATAGATTCAGCCATTGCAAAATAGCTTCAAAACAGTGTAATTGTTTTGTCATAAACTATAATCACACATAATAAATAATTAAATTTTAAAAAATCAATCAACTGAAACGCATTAACAAAGCTGTGTCCTGTAAGAAATGTTAATGGCACGAATCCACCAAAGCGGAACCCAAAAATAAGAATATGGATGACTTAGTGGCCTGTAACGATCACGAGGAAGGAAAGTAGCCCTACTTGACAACATTAACATGCAATGGACAATGTTTCATAATGCGCTTACCTTATTTCTGTTGTAATGCAAGACCCACAATCAGAATATACAAGGTCGCCCTGTTATGTAGAATTTCCTGATTACCTCGTGTTTCCAATCTTGGAACCTGCAGACTGACCAAAAGTCTAATCTTTTAAAATTGTGAAATAAAACTGCCTAAATATCTTGATGGTAAAAGCTAGGCTTTAAATTATTTAAAAAAGCCTTATAGTTGTAAATTTCATTTAAAAGTAAAAAAAAATTGATGAAACATTTAGATATTTAATTATTGAATTTGTCAGTTGGAAATATTTGTCTCTGATTACAATTTATTAAGTGGATATCAAGCAGGTGGAAACTCCACCTTTGGTCATCTTATTTATCTAATTAACTTTATACTGCTTTTTTTGTTTATTTTAAATCAGCTTTTGACAGAATATATTTAAGTATTAATCTATTCCTGAAGCTTTATAATTAGGAGATAATAATGGATGCTGCGATAGATTTGAATTTTTTAAATTTCAGAAGGTACAGGGGCAGGAGTAGATAGATAGATATACTTTATTTACAAAATGAAAAAAATTAGAGTTAAAAATAAAAAACACAGTATGGCATGGTATTAAAACCGTCAGCCAGAGTTCGGAGTGCATTACTATCCCAAGAATATGCATAATTATATAATTATAAGAAAAGGAGAATTTAAAATATCAACTTCAGAGGTGACAATTATTTACAGGATTTTCAAATTACAAGGTTGAATTGCGATAAACTTTGAAAATAATAAAAATGACACTTCAAAGAACAAAAGGATTCCAACTTACAAAGGGTCCCCCATAGGCAAACAGAATTCGCATTTAGAAGCCCACAAACTAGAAATTATATGTATTAAGACAAACAAAACAAAACAAAAGACAAACAAAAAAGAAACAAAATAAGGCAAACAGAATATTAATTCCCTACATTCCAATGTATTCATATCTGTAAAACCAGGCTTTCTGAGCAAAATCAACAAGACCCCGGCAATCGGAGCTGTTCAGAAGGGCTATGAGCTCTTCCCTCGTCAGAAAACCCTTACCCACATACAGATACCTCAATTCGTTCAGGACCAAGCATCTAGCGAGAAAATGAAATACATCCTCACGATCACCTGAGTTACAGAGAGAGCACACTGCAGTGGCAGGAGTACTCCCAACCCAAGGCCTGAAATTCAGGAACAACAACTCCTACTGGGGCAGGAGTATTTGGACCTGGAACCAAATACTCAGAACCCATGGGAAAATACACCAGTACTGATATTCAAGCAATCGAAAGATGTACCCAACTCAAGTACCCAACTCAACCTGAATAAAGGGTACAAAAACTAGAACATAACTATTATGTCAGATAGCCAAGCAGCCATCAAAGCACTAAGCTCAAATATCATTAGTTCAAGGATGGTGCTGAACTGCAAAACCAAACTAAACATATTAGGTACGCAGAACAAAGTCAGCCTCTGCTGGGGCCCAGGACATATGGGAGGAGAAGGCAACGAAGAAGCGGACACCTTTGCAAGAAAAGGGCATGACATACCGCTGATAGGAGCTCGAGCTCTTACGTGGCATAGGAATCCACGCTATTAATGAGTATCTCAGACAGAAGGACAGAAAGAAAATGAAGGAACTATGGAATTCACTCATTGGACATAAACAATCCAAGAATCTCCTAACCAATTTTTGAAGAAAAGAAATCACAAAATATGGGGAAGCAGGAACAGGATTCCTAACAGGTCACTGCAAGTTAAATGGACCCTTAAAGATGGGAATAATCACAGACGGCACATGCAGATTCTGCAAAGAAGCCTAGGAAACACCAACATATAACAAACAGTGATGCTACACTTGACCGAAGGAGGAGGTGCTTTGGGACGTACAATGTGACCATAGAAGAGCTTCAACTACTGAAACCGGGCCTATTAATCAAGTTTCTTGATGAAATAGGACTCACTGATGTGCTTTAGGCAGTGTACGGGGGATACAATAGCTCTTAAAGGGCGTAGTATCCTATACCCTGAAAATTACATCTATCTATCTATCTATGCATGCTGATGTCACTCTAACCTTTGCAAATTAATATTACAAACATACTGAACCGGCACTGATTTTGTATGCGTTCAAACTTTTCCAATCATCTCAATAATTATATTGATCAAATTAGTCGCATATAAATCAATAACTCTAGGGGTGGAGTCATTCGCCAACATTCACATTATTTTGTTCTTCCTGGCTTTCCTGCTCTCTGATTTCTGGACTCACTCGGTCTCAGTACCTTCTGTGACTATTTAAATCTCGACTCTTCACGTCAGATTTTACTGATCTTGTCCTGGCTTCATGACTCAATTTATTGGTGTTTCTACTCGATTTGCTCCTCTCTGACTAGGCAAACGGATTGCTTCTGGCATAATTTTTTAAACTGTGAGAGTCTTGTTTATTTAAATGGATTAATCCAAGCCTTAATGGCATTAATTGATATTTTTATGCCATAATAAGCAAATATGCATAATTATTGTCAAATAAAAACTAACAATCGAGAAGCTTATAATCATAAATTTATACTTTTGATAAATGAAGAAAATTATTTTCAGATTCTTGGGTGGATAATCCAACTTTTACCAATCACTTAAACAAACTGGGACAATATAATTTAGAAAAGCTTAGTAAGTGTTGATTAGTTAATTAGTTTAAATAAAGCTAATACAGTCAATTTTTATTACAGGCAAAGAATTGGATCATTTAAGCATAGAGAAAGCCGGAATTTTAAACCAGACGCAAGATTTGGCGTTCTCAAATTACAAAACTTTTATCCAAACTGCAGAATGTTCAAGAGAACTTTTTCAACAAGTTAATAACTAATAAATAAAAATAAAAAATTATAAATTTGTTTTTAATGGATTTCCGTTTAGTTCCAGAAAACAGAAAGTTCGTTAGATTCGCTACTTGAAGGGGTGCCTAAATTTGTGAACGAATGTGAAGAGTTTATGAAAAAATGCGGGGAAATAAAGGTGAAAAGGCAAGTCAACAGTATCAGCCTTTTGAAGCACGGCTCGATACTGCAGCTGCTCGAAGTCCCCCAGCTCATGGACACCGTAGTACAGGAAGGCCTGTACGATGACGCCCTAAGACTCGCCTCTTTCGTACGAAGGATAGCCAAAACCCATCAAAACATTCCTGTCATTCAGGCAAGTCAAGTTATATTTTATCAATTTTTTATTTTTGACTTAAGACGGTGTTTTTAAGAATATGTAGAGATTAGTGACCGTTAATCGATAGTTATTCAGATATCGTGAGATGCAGTCGGGGGTTTTTAAGAATGATTTTACCAAGTTTTCGGCTCTTTATTGCCATCCTCAGGCAAAAAAATACATCTTAAATTTTATAAGTTTTTTTTGTAGAGTTTGCTCATTGAAATAGAACAATGTTGGATCGGATTAATGGAAAAGTTAATTATGGAACTTCACTCGGAACTGCAGCTCCCGAGGTGCCTGCAAGTCGTCGGCGTCTTGAGACGAATGGGCATTTTAAGCGAATTGGATCTCAGGCTTAAATTTTTACAGGCTAGAGATTCTTGGTTTAGTTCCGTTCTCAAACAGATCAACAAAGAAGAACGTAATAAATTAAATAATAATATAATTCGTTGAGGAAATTAATTTTTAATTATTTTTAGCGCAACATCTCAACAAAATAATAGACGTGTATAGGACACATATGTTTAATATTATAACTCAATATACAGTTGTATTCCCTGAACAGGAAAACTCCCTGACAACCAATACTCAACATTTTAATGATTATTCAATACTCCAAGAATGGATAAATAATAAGGTTTCGAATATTGAAAACTTAAAATGCCAAAATTCAATTTTATAAATTCAAAAATAACTTCAGGTCAATGAGTTTGTGGCTGTGTTAGAAAAAGAGTTATCTTCGTGCAATGACGCCGTGGGATGTTTAGAACAAGTGATGTATTTTGGCCAGTCGCTCGGCCGCGTCGGTTCAGACCTACGAGCCCTTGTCGCACCCGTTTTCGTAAAAAGGCTTACGCAAGCTCTCATCTCTCAGATCCAAGAAGCGACTTTACAATTCACATGCGATATGAACAAATTTTCTTTAGAAAGCTCGTTAAACAAAGTGCAAACTTTACCGCAATTAAACGAGCCACAGGTAAAAGTCGAATAGATTTAATGATTATTTTTAAAAATTAATTTTATATTTATTGCAGAGCGATGTATCTCCTCCTTTAGATCTGAGCCTTTACTATCCTCTTGGGCGTTACGCCAATAGTTTGGCATCTTGCTTTAACCAATTAAAATTGTGTGCTCCTCTTTGCATTGCTCAGCCATTTACGAGGTTACTCGAACAAGCATTAACTACTGTCGCTACGACTATTGCTCAGTTTTATAGAAGGGCAGGTTTTTTTTTTTTTTTTTAATTAATTGATAAATTTGATCTTATTTTTATTATTTTTTAGGAACAACAAGCAATGACGAAAGAGGAAATGGACTTGCTTTCAAAAATGGTCGTTTGCTTCAACGAATGTTTTGTGCCTTATGTTCAAAGATGCCTCCATTTATTGTTTTCCCCCGTCGAAATTGCCACGTTCTTGTCTGTTCCGGTTTACAAGCTCCAGGAACAGGTAAACAGAACGCCAAAACGCAAAAGGCATGATTTATTAAACCGATTCGTTTTCAGAAACTGACATTTTTCGATATGGATCATATATCGGCGCCGATCAATCATCTCCTCCCTGTTACTAAAATAGACATAGCGGCGATTGTCATGAATCAGAAAAAAGAGGACGCGGCGAAGATTGATAGCAAGTCAGAATCAATAGCAGAAGATGAAAATCAAACAGATAAAGAAATAAAAGTATCATAACAAAAAAACAAAAAAATACTTAAGAAATAACTGTGATTTTTTAAATCCAATCATTGTTTTGCATCTGTGTATTTGTAAATATACGTACATTATATATTTTTTATTTCTTTCTTTCTTTTTTTTTTTTTTTTTTTTGTAAACATACATACATTTATTTTATTTTCCAAACCTACCCAATTACCTTAATTGGTAAAAATGAAAAACAAAAAAATTACAATAGAAGAAATCATTGTGTTAGTAAAAGATTGGTCAAAATGAATATGAAGTAACTGAATCAAAGAGGCGTAAAGCATTTGGTAATGTAATATTCAGATTAAGACTGGAGGGAAGGGAAATGACTATATAAGCCAGATTCGCTCACATTGAAGTCAGTCTTGATTTGGTTCTGACAATCCAAGCTTGAAGAAAAAATGAAATTATTCATCGTTCTTGCTGCCTGCATGGCTGTCGCTTCTGCTCTCTACGGCGGAGAAGAGGGTCATCATGAACACGTCGACTACTATGTATGCTGAGGACATCAACATTTTTTGAAATTAGTGACTTTTGTGTTTTTTTCCAGGCTCCTCCTCATTACAGCTTCGAGTACAAAGTTGAGGACAAGCACACAGGTGATTACAAGAGCCAACACGAAACCAGGGAAGGAGACAAAGTCAAGGGATTCTACATGCTGAAAGACCCCGACGGTACTGTCAGGGAAGTCCATTACACCGCTGACAAACACAACGGTTTCAACGCCGAAGTCAAGAGGGTCGGACACGCCGTCCACCACTACCCCCTGTACCATCATTACTGATTTTCTGTATAAACTGGCTGCATTAAAATGAATGATAAAAATTCTCTTGTTCTTAAATTCAAACTCTAGCGAATACCCTTAACGCATTCTTTATTTTTTATGTTTACATATGAACCTGGTCAATATATACACAAAACTAGTTAAATTTAGGTTTTGCCCATTAGTACTTAGTAACTTTTTACAAGACAAACATAACCATTTTCAAGCAAGTAACTTTTGGCATTTGCCTTTTTGCCACGAGGGCAGGAATTAGTTGAACCTTACTGTTTACAAAATACAAGGACAGATTCGCGATTCATGTAGGATTTGTTTCCACGTAAGGTGAAGTTTCGTCATAAGGTCAATTATATTTTATTGAACCCTAAGTATACAGGACTGCAGTTGAAACAATGCAAAATGAGATTTTTATCTTTTTTTTAATCTTTTTTTTTTATGAGGGCCCACAATAGCAGAGGTTATATCAGGTGTTTTGTTGAAAAAAGCCCATTTGTAAGTATGTCGGGTTCGAACCCGGGACCTTTACCTTACAGTGATGAGTGCCTAAACCGTTGCGGCCACCGACACCCCCTAGTGTCTTTATTAGTTTGTCAACAGTTAAAGAATAAAGTCGTGTCAGATATGTGAAAAGTTCTGATTCAAACTGTGTTCTTCAGTCAGGAAGGTCCAAACAGAGAAAGAGTCCATACAGGACAGTTTGTACCCTGATGACCTTTAGAGGGAGAACCTCTGGAAATTGTGAGAATCTGTTTACTACGGTGAGAGTTTGTGTTGAGAATGATCCAGCAGGTGAATGGACATGTCTAGTTGTTATGACATGAGTAATTTTTTCAGTTTTTCTCATAAGCGGGGAACACACCGATGCAACACTACTCGACATGACCTGAAGCCATCTGATGCAAATCCAATGTCCAATTTTCCATAAGATTGTATACTCCCACGCACATCTGCCCGACGCCAAGCAACACTCCCTACTCTACGCTACGCGATCCCCACTGTCCAGATTTTCGTCGGGTAGCATTGAGAACAGTCGAAGACAAAAGAAACCAGACACCCATATTTTTTGTAGTTTATTTTGAACTATGTATATGTAATTTTGTCATTTAATTACAACATGCTTAATTTAGTATAAACCAAATTAAGCGAGATCAAAAATTCATATGTTGAGCCAGAAACACACTTACCCAATGCTATGCGATATGACTTGATGTTACCTGACGCCTTGTCACGTTTTGGTAGGGTGTGCACATTATGCAACGAAATGTCCACTAGTAGTTAGTAACTTTTTACAAGACAAACATAACCATTTTCAAGGCAAAAGTAACTTTTGGTATTTGCCTCTTTTTTTGCCACGAGGACAGGAATTATTTGAACCTTATTGTTTACAAAATACAAGGACAGATTTACGATTCATGTAGGATTTGTTTCCACGTAAGGTGAAGTTTCGTCATAAGGTCAATTATATTTTATTGAACCCTAAGTATACAGGACTGCAGTTGAAACAATGCAAAATGAGATTTTTATCTTTTTTTTAATCTTTTTTTTTTATGAGGGCCCACAATAGCAGAGGTTATATCAGGTGTTTTGTTGAAAAAAGCCCATTTGTAAGTATGTCGGGTTCGAACCCGGGACCTTTACCTTACAGTGATGAGTGCCTAAACCGTTGCGGCCACCGACACCCCCTAGTGTCTTTATTAGTTTGTCAACAGTTAAAGAATAAAGTCGTGTCAGATATGTGAAAAGTTCTGATTCAAACTGTGTTCTTCAGTCAGGAAGGTCCAAACAGAGAAAGAGTCCATACAGGACAGTTTGTACCCTGATGACCTTTAGAGGGAGAACCTCTGGAAATTGTGAGAATCTGTTTACTACGGTGAGAGTTTGTGTTGAGAATGATCCAGCAGGTGAATGGACATGTCTAGTTGTTATGACATGAGTAATTTTTTCAGTTTTTCTCATAAGCGGGGAACACACCGATGCAACACTACTCGACATGACCTGAAGCCATCTGATGCAAATCCAATGTCCAATTTTCCATAAGATTGTATACTCCCACGCACATCTGCCCGACGCCAAGCAACACTCCCTACTCTACGCTACGCGATCCCCACTGTCCAGATTTTCGTCGGGTAGCATTGAGAACAGTCGAAGACAAAAGAAACCAGACACCCATATTTTTTGTAGTTTATTTTGAACTATGTATATGTAATTTTGTCATTTAATTACAACATGCTTAATTTAGTATAAACCAAATTAAGCGAGATCAAAAATTCAAGAGTTTTTATAAAAATTATTTAATTATGATGATTAAGCAGAAAATTTATCAAAACACCGGAATAACTTTATTTAAAACAATTGACTTTTTTTTTTAATTGGCCTTATGATCTTGCATATTAGCCATAGTACGAATTCTTGTGTTCAAATTGGGGGTTATCGGGAAAAAAGGGCCAGAGGTGACAGTGGGAATCGAACCCACGACCGTGGCGGAAGAGTCTCTCATGCTAACCACTCGGCTACCACGGTCCCCTGACTTAAAAAAAAAAAAAAAAAAAAAATTACTTTAACTTTTATTACATGGTTCTGCTCATAAAATATAACTAACAATTTATTACATGATTTTGCTCAAAATAATGCATTAAGAACAAAAGTTGACGCTTGTCGTTGCATAAATGTGCACACCCTACCAAAACGTGACAAGGCGTCAGGTAGCATCAAGTCATATCGCATAGCATTGGGTAAGTGTGTTCCCTGCTATAGACTGCGTATGTGGTTGTGTCTCACATCCCAGGATGACCTAGTTACGAAGACAGTCAAAAAATAGTTTGCGATATCCTCGTGGAATGTAGGATCTTAGAGGATTCGTATAAGTGTCGGAGTAGATAAATTTGGTCCATTCAATTTTGGATCTTGAGATTATCGTTCTGCTAAATTAGTAAGGTCGAGTGATTGTTTCTTTACTTAATAAGGTGGCTACCACATTTCTGGATGTTCGCTCTCACAATATTTGTGGCCTGAAGGGTCACCCCTATTGCTATTTGATGCATCCGACATCAGGCTTGGTTTTGGGTGTATTAAAAAAAAAAAGGAAGTAAATCGGGTCCAGTGAATTGATTGTTTCTATGAACTTGGCCATTTTAACTTTTCATTAAGCAGTGCCTGTATTGTCGCTGTTTTTGGTATAAAACAATGGTTTAAATTAATCATTCCTAGGAATCATCATAATTTTTTAAGTGTGTCAGGATACATGAAAAGACTTTTTTTTAAACGTGACTTTTCTGAATTGAATTAAACAAGTAAAAATATAATTTATTCTGTATATAATTTTTTCTTTTGGGTTAAACTTGTTTTATTTTTAACAACAGCATTGTTACGGGCATCGGTGGCCGCAACGGTTTAGGCGTTGACACAGCACTCCGAGGTTCGAATCTAGCGGCCTTGTATTCGAACCCGACATACAAATGGGCTTTTTTCAAAAACACCGACACCCCGAGGGTTGATATAACCTCTGCAAAAGAATTATTAAACATTATTTTTTTTATAGTACACTAAACCCGCACGACTTGTGAATATTGCGTTACTGTATGTCAAGGCGCCGTTAAAGCCTTGTAAAAATCCTTTTATTCGAGGACCATTTTTCTTGGAAATATTCTATAAATAGGTAATTTATGTCAGTAAGTATATCAATTATTATTATGATTATTATTATCTATAAATCTGTAATTACTGCAATATCTTAAAATAGAGCTTGTTGTTGAAACTTTAAATTATTGGGGATTTATTAAAAAAAAATTGGGAAACACTAAAAATTTAGCATCCTTATATAATAATAATATATAATTTATGTAAAGCATAATAATCTACTTTGTAATGAGAAAAAGAAAGAACAAAATCCTTTAAAAAAAACTAATAAGGAAGAGTGAATGGTGTTCTGGTAATAATGTAAAATTTTTACAGGCAACAAATAAAAAGAATATAAGGAGTGACATTAATGTATGAATTAATAAAATCAGGACTGCAGCTTTATTGGATTCACGGGGTAATATAAGCCGTATTAGTGGGAATTTTGTTAATATAATTAAACCGAGTCTGAGGAACCAATATTAAAATGGTCTATAAACATAACAGTCAGGAACTCAGAGAAGGTATTGATGCTAAATAAAGTGAAATTAAATCTAAAGATTGAGGACTATCCATGAGAATATACATTTTATATCGTTCTGAATTTGCCTGTCGATATATTCTGAGGATTGATTTTTTGAAATTCTCACACGCCTCCGTAAACCCGGCAAAAGGATTATTCTCATTAATTTTGATAAAAACTACTCCTTAGTAGATGAAAAAATGAACACTGAAGAGAACAGGTTAAACACCATTCACTCCGATCTAGAAAAATTTGAAAGAACATAGCCAGACGTATTAACTGAACAATTAGGACTTACACCTTTATTGAAAGGGGGAAGTAAAACTAATCGACAGGGCAAAAATTGAAAGAAAACAAATTAATTATCCACTTACTCCTCCCAAATTAAAAATTTTATGGGAAAAATATTTAAAAAATATCATTATTATTATATTATATGTGTCACGATCTGTTCTCAAGACGGGCCCAACTCTGAATCCTTTTTGTGAGAAACAGAGCCCCATAGGTCTTAATTGAACCTGAATACAGCTGATCAGGGTGCCTTGTATAATAAAATTTAATTAAAGTTTGAAAACAGTTTATTAAACGCACAAGAAAATAATAATTAAAATTAATACATTTCCTTTTAAAAGTTTAACTAACAAATTTTTTTTAAATTTAAATAAACAATCATTTCCTGCAAAGAATTTGCCAGACCATTTAGAACAAGGGTGGATATGTACTCACTATCTACAGTCAATCCGCTGTGGACCGAAGCACTCTATTTTAGGGAATACAACACTTTTGAGGACCACACACTTCTCTTGTCTATCATCTACCCGGAACGGGCTTGTTCACCTCTCCTCGACTGTCTCTTCCCAATCTCTTTTATTTTTTACTCTAGGCCTAATCACGGCATCTAAATCATAACATTATCACATTG